GCGGCCACTGCCCTCCAGTCTGGGTGACCGAGTGAGACTCCAACTCAAAAAAAAAAAAATTAAAATTAAAATTAAAATTAAAAAACCAGCCTGGTGTGGTGTAATCCCAGGACTTTGGGAGGCCGAGGTGAGAGGACTGCCTGAGTCCAAGGGTTTGAGGCCAGCGGGGGCAACTCGGTGACATCTTGTTTCTACGGTAGATCAAAAAATGAGCCAGGTGTGGTGGTGTACACCTGTAGTCCCAACTCCTTTGAAGGCTGAGGCGAGCCCAGCAAGTGGAGGCTGGTCTCGAACGCCCGGCCCCAAGAAATCCTCCCACCTCAGCCTCCTAAAGTGCTGGGATTACCGGCACGAGCCACCGCCCCCGGCCCCCAAGAAATACCGACACCGCATCAGAGCGGCTTCACGCGAATCCCACAATGCCTCGCAGGCTGAGGAGGGCATCCAGCCGCGTGCAAGACCACGATGGGCACCTGGGGAGCGGGAGAACGTCTCTCGGCCTCCAGAAGGCAGTCCACGTACCTGCAGGAAGCGTTCCATTCGACAGGATGAGTGATCGGGCCCAGCCCCGTCGTAGCCGTGCGGAAGCAGGATGACAATGCCACTCTGTAAGCGCCACTTGGCCTCTCCTGGAAAGGCACGCGGCGGGGAGTCAGAGCCCCACAAAGCAGGAGCAAGCCAGTCCCACACGACTCGCAGCGGGCAGGCAATGACGGTGACACGGATTTTCCAGGCCCGCCTGGGCTTCAAGGGCGCCAGCTCAAGGGGGGGGCCAGCCCAGCCCCGGAGAGGGTCGTGGAGGGGCTGGTAAGCCTGGCCCCACACGTGTCAGCTCTAATGGGCTGGTAAGTCAAGCCCTGAGTGCTGTGTTGGGGGGGGTGCTGGCTGGCAAGCCTAGCCCCCAGGGTGTTGGCTCTAAGGCACTGGCAAGCCAAGCCCTGAGAGTGTTGCTGCTTTGGTGGGCTGGCAAGCCTGGCCCCCCGGGTGCCTCGGCTTCGGAGTCTTGCCTTCTTCTGGCAGCTCTCCCGGTTTAGCCGGCTCTGCCGGCTGGCAAGCCAGCCTCTGGGCTGCACGGCTTTTCAACTCCGACGATTTTCTGCAGCATTTCGGGTTGCAGCGCTTCAGGGTCGAGGTTCTCGTCTCATGCCCAGGAAGAATGAGGGACATGGACGGCCAGAAGGTGAAAACGCAGGATGGACGGAGGACAGAAAAGCTCCCACGGCAGGAGGGGGCCCCATACCGGGGGCTGATATAGCCCTAAGTCCAAGCTGATTGTCTGGCCCTAGCTGTGAGCTGTAGCTGTTCTGACTGGCCAGTATTAAGGTAGGGACCTAATGGTGAGCTGATTGGTTGCTTTTCCATCCCAGCAGTGAGTACCTCAACTCTAGCTTGAGAGGCTTGCGTGGAGTTGTTTACCAATGCTGAGCCTGAGAGGCCTGCTAGGAGTTCACACCACATTGAGAATGAGAGGCCTGCTAGGAGTTCACACCACATTGTTACCAGGGACCCGCCTGTCTGCCTGCCTCACCTTTCTCTAGCTATCTCCCTTCTCAATAGCTCGTGGCCGGACCTTCCCAAACCTGAGCGACAACACAGGCCACTATCCTCACACAGAGGGTGGGGCACACTTATTTATGTATTTTGTTGTTGTTGTTGCCCAGGCTGGAGTACAGTGGCACAATTAAAATTCACAGCGGCCTCGAACTCCTGAGCTCAGGCGACCCTCCCTTCCCAGCCTCCTGAGTAGCTGGGACTACAGACATACCCTACTACAGGCTACTAATTTTTTATGTTGGTTTTTTTTTTTTTGAGATAGAGTTTTCCTGTGTTGCCCAGGCTGGTCTTGAACTTCTGGCCTCAAGGGATCCTCCCACCTCGTCTCCTGAAGTGCTGAGATTATAGGACAGCACCATGTCCACTTTTGCAGACATTTTAGAATCATCTCTGGACATGTCAGAAGTCCAGTCTTCTCAGACACTTTTCTTCCTCAGAACCAAACTGTTTCACAGAGAAACACAGCTACAGGAAAGATTTGAGGCACATGTTCAAAACCTTATAGCTGGTACCTGTGCAAAATGGAGATGAGGGTCTGGGGAAAAATCTGGACATTTATTTCACATTTTCAAATTTTTTTTTTTTTGAGTCAAGGTCTCAGTCTGTCATCCAGGATGGAGTACAGCAGCACAATTATACTTCACAGCAGCCTTGAATTCCTGAGCTCAAGCAATCCTCCTGCCTCAGACTCCTGAGTAGCTGGGACTGAAGGCATACACGACCACATCCAACTAACTTTCTTAGTTTTGTTTTTGAGATAGAGTTTTGCTATGTTGCCCAGGCTGGTCTTGAACTTCTGGCCTCAAGTGATCCTCCCAGCTTGGCCTCCCAAAGTGCTGGGATTACAGGCACAGCACCACGCCTAGCCCTGCAGACACTTTAGAATCGTCTCTGGACACGTCAGAAGCCCAACCTTCTTGGGTACATGTTCCCTCAGAACGAAACTATTACAAAGAAACACGGCTACAGGAAATATTTGAGGCATGTGTTTGAAACCTTACAGCTGGTACCCCTGGAAAATGGGGACAAGGGACGAGGATATGGGGAGAGACCTGGACATTTATTTTACATACTTTGAATTTTTTTTTTTTTTTGAGTCAGCATCTCACTCTGTAACCCAGGCTGAAATGCAGTGGCACAATCACAGCTCACCAGAGCCTCAACCTCCTGGGCTCAGGTGATCCTTCTGCCTCAGCATCCCGAGAAACTGGGACTACAGGCACGTGCCATCACACCTGACTAATTTCTTAATTTTTCTATAGAGACCAGGACTCGCTAGGTTGCCCAGGCTGGTCTCAAGCTCTGGGGTTCCAATGCCCCTCCCACCTCAGCCTCCCAAAGTGCCGGGATTATAGGCGTGAGCCACCATCCCCAGCTACTTCAAATTTTTACAGTAAGCAGGTATGACTTTTGAAACTTTCAGACACTGGAGCATGCCTGGATGGAAAGGAATAGGTCTCAAGTCCCCACTGACTCCTGGGCACAGTCACCGAGTGGCACTCAGCCCTCCTGCTGACAGAGAACTTGGATGCCGGCCCTCCCAGGACATGAACCTGTCTGATAGCTGCCACACCCAGTGGACAAGAGCGCGATGCCCAACTCCCGGGAGGTGCTGTGGCACCCAGGAGTCTCGTAAGCAGCAGTGACCCCTTCCCATCCATCTGTCCCGGTGAGACTGGGGCTCTGCATCTGTCACCACCCGTACATGAGCACCAACCTCCCGAGATGAATGTGTCCAAGATGATCTGGGCGCCATTGAAGAAATCGCCAAACTGCGCCTCCCAGATGGGCAGTAACTTTGGACTCTCTATACTCATCCCGTATTCAAATCCCAGGACGGCCTCTTCTGACAACGGGCTGTTGCTGACCTAATCCCACGGAAGAGAAGGAAACACCGTCACACACAGGGGCATCCCACAGAAGCCGGGATGGGAAAGCATCTGGTTTGTGCAAACCTCTCAGAGGGAGGAGGGGGCAGAGGGGACTTTGCTTTCATTTGTTCCCACGTCCCTTTGAGAAAAGAGATTGCTAGAGTTTGAATGTGACTCCAGCCAACAGCACTGGGAACCAAATCTCATGTTGAAATGTGATTCCCTGCCGGGCACCATGGCTCACACCTGTCATTCCAGCATTTTGGGAGGTGGAGGTGAGAGGACTGCCTGAGCCCAGGGGTTCGAGACTAGTCTGGGCAACTTAGCAAGACCTTGTCTCTACAAAAAAAAAAAATCAGAAAATTAGCCAGGCATGGCAGTGCATGCCTATAGTCCCAGCTACTCGGGAAGCTGAGGCAGAAAGATCACCTGAGTCCAGCAGGTCAAGGCTGTGGCAGCCATGAGCATGCCACTGCACTCCAGCCTGGGTGACAAAGTGAGACTTCGACTCCAAAAAAAAAACAAAAAGAAAGAAATTTGATTCCCAATGTTGGAGGTGGAGCCCAATGGGAAGTACTTGGGTCCCAGGAGTGGGATCCTTCATAAATGGATAATCCCCTCCCAGGGAGTAGAGGGTGCGTGAGTTCCCACTCTATTAATTCCCCTAAGAGCTGGTTCTTGAAAAGAGCCAGGTACCACCTTCCTCTCTTGCTTCCTGTCTTCCCACATGATCTCTGCCCACACCAGCTCCCCTCCACCTACTGGTAAGGGAAGAAGTAGCCTGAGGCCCTCACCGGATGCCCAATTTTCCAGCCAGCAGCACTGGGAGTCAAATAAATCTTATTTCTTTACAAATTACCGAGCCTCAGGGGTTCCTTCATGGCAACACTAAATGGATTAAGATCAATATCAGTGATGCTTATGGGAAAAGCTGGGATGAAGAGAGGAAGAGTGAAAAGAGTTTGGAATGTGGATATGAAAGATTTTCTTCAGGGATACAGATAGACTTCTCAGGTGACCTGCCTTCTGAGCTGGGAGTAAAACGGTGCTATAAAGCTTTTTAAAAACATGTTGAAAAACAAAGTAGGAAAACTCACAAAGTAAAAGCATACCTTTCTAACAACATACTAACGTGATAAGTCAAAAGAATCATCATGATATGTGAAGATTTAAAACGCACAATACAAAATACATCTCTGAGGAGGTTAAAAAGGCATGATGATTAAATACAGCATGGTTCTGGTCTAGGTTCAAGAAGGAGATGGTGGTAATGTCTCAGTATTAACTTCCTGATGTTTCTTTTTTTTTTCTTTTTGAGTTGGAGTCTCGCTCTGTTGCCCAGGCTGGAGTGCAGTGGTATGCTCACGGCCACTGCAGCCTTGACCTGTTGGGCTCAGGCGATCCTTCCACCTCAGCCTTCCAAGAAGCTGGGACCACAGGCGCATGCCCCCATGCCTGTGTAATTTTTTGATTTATGGTAGAGACAAGGTCTCACCAAATTGCCCAAGCTAGACTCAAACCCCAGGGCTCAGGCAATCCTCTTGCCTCTGCCTCCCAAAGTAATGGAATTACAGGCATGGGTCACTCTACCCAGCTAATTTCCTGATTTTGATGCTTGTCTTGTGATAGAGGAGAACATCTCTGTTTTTAGGAAATCCACACTGGGGGGCATGGGGTTGGCAACTTGCTCTCCAGTGGTTCGGGATGAGAAGACGTTCCTTTGTAATATATATCTAATTCTTTTGTCATTTTGTGCTTGTTTCAAATTTTTATTTTTTATTTTTATTTTTTGAGTTGGAGTCTCACTCTGTTACCCAGGATGGAGTGCAGTAGCACGCTCACGGCCACCATAGCCTCGACCTGCTAGGCTCAGGCAATCCTTCCGCCTTAGCCTTCCAAGTAGCTGAACTACAGACACACACCACCATGCCTGGCTATTTTTTTTTTTTTTTCTTTTTTTACTTTATTGTAGAGATGAGATCTCGCCAAGTTGCCTGGGGTGGTCTTGAACCCATGGGCTCAGGCAATCCTCTCACCTCGGTCTTCCAAAGTACTGGGATTATAGGCCTGAGCCACCATGCCTGGCCTGTTTCAAATTTTTTAAAAATATTTTTAAAAGTTATATCTTCATTATTTGGCAATAAGAAGTTAGTGCTGATACATGCTACAGCCTGGATAGACTTAGAAGACATGATCATAAGTCAAAGAAACCAATCACAGAAGGCCACATACGATATCACTGCATTTACACAAACCATCCAAAATAGTGAAATCAACAGAAACAAAAAGTAGATTAGTGATTGTTGCCAGGGGCGGAAGGAAGGAATAGGGAGCCTCTGCTAATGGTTAAGGGGTTTCCTTCTGGGGTGATGAAAATGTTATGAAATTAGATAGTGGTGATAGTTGCACAACTCTGTGAATATAATAGAAATTTAGTATATTTACAGTTTAGTATATTTTAGTATATTTAGAATTTTACACATTGACAGGTTGAATTTTATGAGTTATATCTCAATAAAGCCTTTATTTAAAAAAAAAAAAACACCTCAGGCTGGGCATGGTGGCTCACACCTGTAATCTCAGCACTTTGGGAGGCTGAGGCAGGAGGACTGCTTGAGCCCAGGAGTTCAAGACCAGTCCAGACAATATAGCAAGAACTTGACTCTGCAAAAATAAAAAATGAGCCAGGCATGTGGTGGTGCACACCTGTAGCCCCAGTTACTCGGGAGGTTGAGGTGGGATTATTAGTATGGTGGGATTATGCATAGCTTACCTTTCTGATTTCAATTGTGATTTCAGTTATAATCTATCTATCATCTATCTATCTATCAGTCATTTACCTTCTACCACCTACCTATCTCTATCAATCTATTTTTCATCTATCAATCAATCTACCTATCTGTCATCTATTATCTATTTACCATCTATCACCTATCTATTATCTATATCTCTATCATCTATCTGTCTATCATCCATCTATCATCTATCTACCAATTATCTATCTACCTATATTTATCTGTCTGTCACCTATCTACCATCTATCTATTATCTATCTATCTATTATTTATTTACCCTCTACCTATCATCTATCTATCTATCACCTATCTTTCACCTTTCTATCATCTATCAATTAATCTATCATCTATCTATTACTGATCTATCTATCATCTATCAGTTATTTATCTATCTATCATCTACCCATGTATCTGCCTGTCTGTTATCTATCTATCTGTCAACCATGTCTCTAGATAGTCAGCTGTCTACCTAGTGAAAGATGCCTGCATTTCTCCGACTGGCACGTGTGTTGCACACAGGGTTCGGGCCGGCCACTCTACTTGATCGCCACCTGTCCTCCCCTCCTTCCTCATCTCTCTTCCCACGCAAGGTTGACACACCCACTCACATTTTGAATCTCTCCCTTCTTTGGGCTGCTTCTAGGACCGGGCCTCTCCTCTCTGGACCTCTCCTCTTTGGCCTTCTCCCCTCAGCTCATGGACAATCAAAAGCTTAAAATAAAACAAAAAAAATCCCCCTGCCCTGGCTCCCCAAGCTACCACTTCCTTTCACAGTCAAGTTTCTAGAAAGAATAATCTAACCCACTTGTCTCCACTATTTTATGTCCTGCTCTCCCTCAACTAAACGCAGTCTAGACTCTGCCCTCACTACTCCACAGAAATAGCACGACCCGGTCAACCCCTGGCCTTCCAGTTACTGAACCCCATGGCATGTCATTCTTCACGCTAGCTGACACTTCCCTCCTTGGGCACAGAGCCAGTGACTCCCAGCTCCCCTGCCTTTCCGGAGACTCTTTTTGTGAAATACTTTTCCTCTGCCTGCGCCTTGAAAGTTGTTTCTCCTAGGATAGTCGCCCTGGTTCTCTTATGCTTTCTCGGGGGGTTCTCCACCCTACAGCTTCAATCACTTCCACACCTTGATGACTTCCAAATCTATACTGAGAGCTAATTGCCTGATAGAAACCCCGATGTCCCACAACCACAGAATATACATTCTACTCATCACCGTATGGAAAAAAGAAAGAAAGAAACCCCGACGTCATTCAGCCCCCTCAATGGCAAATGTTCAAAATGGAGTCCATCAACTTTCCTCACCTAAGCTGATCCCCTCTCCTGGACTCTCTCTGGGTCGACACCACCGCCATCTCCCAGGTGGCTAAGTCAAGCAGCCAAGAGACAACCCAAATTCGTCTTTCTTCTCTACTTTCTTCCTCTGCCACTGAGCCCAATTGCTTCTATTTTCTGGATGGTTCTCAACTCTGGTTCTGTCTTTCCTCTCCACTGCTGCTGGCCTGAGCCAGGACCCTTGATTCCGTGCCTGGAAGACTGAGATGCCTCCTTAACGGTTGTCTTAAGTTCTCATCCTTCTTCAGTTTAGGTTTCCAGAGCATTGTCAGGAGTGGTCTTTTTTAAAATTATTTTTTTGAGTGAGGGTCTCACTCTGTTGCCCAGGCTGGAGTGTACTGGTATGATCACAGCTCACTGCAGCCTCGCCCTCCTCGGTTCAGGTGATCCCTCTGCCTCAGCCTTCTGAGTAGCTGGGACTACAGGCACACGCCACCACGCCCAGCTACTTTTTTTATTTATTGTAGAGATGAGGTCTTGCCAAGTTGCCCAGGTTGGTCTTGAACCCTGGGCTCAGGCAATCCTCTTGCCTCTGCCTCCCAAAGTGCTGGGATTATAGGCTTGAGTCACTGAGGTCAGCTCACTTTTATTTATTTATTTATTTTGAGTTGGAGTCTCACTCTGTCACCCAGGCTGGAGGGTAATGGCATGCTAATTTTTTTTAATTGATTGCTTTGCTTTTTGGTAGACATGAGGTCTTGCTATGCTTCCCAGGCTAGTTGTGAACTCCTGGTCTCAAGCAATCCTCCCACTTCAACCTCCCAAAATGCTGGGATTACAGGCGTGAGCCACTGTGCCCAGATCTTTCTTTTTTCTTCTTCTTTTTTTTTAAGTGAGAAAGCAGGATTTACTGAGAGGACAGAAAAGCTCCCACAGTGGGAGGGGACCTGAACAGGCTGCCCTGGATCTTTCTAATACACAAACCTCAACTGCTCAAAACTCCTCCACGGGATCTCTTTTTCATGACACTCAAAACTTGTAATGCCTGGGTAGTCCAGTCTGGCCACTCCCTTTCCTCCTGTGTCCACTTCACAGCTTCAACTCTAGCCTTGCGAAGCTATTTGCAGTTCCCAGAGCATGTTGGGTTCTCTTATTTCAAGCTTTTGTATGCACTCTTGTGTCCACCTAGAATATTCTCCCGACATCAATTAGGCTAGACAAAACCTATGACCTTCAAATCCCACCTCAAATGTGGTCTATTCTGTCAAGCATTTCCTGACCTCCCCAAGCAAAGATGCTGTCCCCGTCTCCTATGTGTCTACTGGACATTGTATGCTTGTCTACGCTTAGATACTTTATTTTCTTCACTCTATTAATGCTTTTATTTGTTCTAAAAAGTATGTAAGGCAACTTTTAAATACACATAATGTGCAGCACACACTTTTTTTTTTTGAGTCTTACTCTGTCCCCCAGGCTAAATGCAGAGGAACACTCACGGCCACCGCAGCCTCAATCGGCTGGGCTCAGGCGATCCTTCGGCCTCCGTTTCCAAGTAGCTGGAACTACAGGCATATGCCACCACACCCAGCTAATTTTTCAATTTATTGCAGAGATGGGTCTGCCTAGTTGCCCAGGCTGGTCTTGAAACCCTGGGCTTAGGCAATCCTCTTGCCTCCGCCTCCCAAAGTGCTGGGATTATAGGTTTCAGCCACTGAGCTCAGTTCACTTTTCTTTTTTTTTTTTAAAGTAGGAGTCACACTCTGTCACCCAGGCTGGAGTGTAGTGGCACGATCACACAGTCTCAACCTTCTGGACTCAGGTGATCCTTCTGTCTCAGTTTCCCAGGTAGCTGGGACTACAGATGTATGCCATCACACCTGGCTAATTTTTTATTTCCTGTAGAGATTAGATCTCTCTATGTAGCCCAAGCTGGACTCAAACTCCTGGGCTCAAGCAATCCTCCCAACTTGACCTCCCAAGTGCTCAGATTATTGCACCTGACCACTGTTTTTCTTAAGTAGGCAAGAAATGTTGGCTTATTATTTACATCTCTGACTAAATTTAATGAATCACAGCCATATGCAGATTATAATATCAATTTTGAATTGAAAAAATGCACATCCATTTTATATTTACATGATTACAGATACATTGCCAGAGTAAGCTAGCCCAGTCTACTCGCGTGTCACTCCTACTCCAAATGTAAGCACCCACCCATTCAGCACCCCTCTATATCAAGAAGTATTGAACCCAAAGCTGCCTAGATCTGTTTCTAGTTGTTTTAAGAATCCTGGGGTCAGATGTAGAGGCTCAAGCCTGTAATCCCAGCACTTTGGGAGGCTGAGGTGGGAGGATTGCCTGAGCCCATGGGTTTAAGACCAGCCTGGGCAACTTGGCGAGACCCCATCCCTACAACAAATCAAAAAATTAGCCAGACATGATAGTACATGCCTATAGTTCCAGTTACTTGGAAGCCTGAGGCAGAAGGATCACCTGAACCCAGTGGGTGGAGTCTGCAGTGACCATGAACATGCCTGGGTGACAGAGTGAGACTCCAACTCACAAAAAATCCTGAAATTGGCCGGGTACAGTGGCTCACACCTGTAATTCCAGCATTTTGACTGGAGGAGTGGAGTCAAAATGCTAGACAGTGGAGGCGAAAGGATTATCTGGAGTCCAGGGATTTGAGACCATCCTGGGCAACTTGGCGAGACCTCGTCTCTACAGTAAATCACAAAAATTAGCCAGGCATGGTGGCGTGTACCTGCAGTTCCAGCTACTTGGAAGGTTGAGGCAGAATGATTGCGAGACCAGCAGGTTAAGGCTGCAGTGACAGTGAGTGTACCACTGCACTCCAATCTAGACAATGAAGTGAGACTCCGACTAAAAAAAAAGAAAAAAAGAATTCTGGCTTTTATGATCAATATATATTAAAATATCCTACCTCCAGAAACCCCTTCTGATTAGGATCCATATGGTTCAAGGGGATATAGGTGTCATCGGTCTCCTGGCAGACCACCATTGCATGCCTTTGGCTAAAAGTTCCACGACCAACATCTTGGCCACTCAGACGGACATTAAAACCTTAAGCAAAAAAGAGAAGAAAAATAAAATCCAGATTCCCTTGAATACCCTAATAATAAGTCATGGTAACTCTAAATTCTTATACATTGGCTCATCATTAGGATTTTCCTTTTTTTTACTTTTAGAGACAAGGTCTTGCCAAGTTACTCAGGCTGGTCTCAAACCCCTGGGCTCAGGCAATCCTTTCTTCTCTGCCTCCCAAAGTTCTGGGTTTATAGGCGTGAGTCACCGTGCCCGGCAATTTTTCTTTTTTATTTTGTGAGTTGTGGTCTCACTCTGTTGCCCAGGCTGAAGCGCAGTAGCATGATCACGGCTCATTGCAGGCTCAACTTCCTGAGCTTAGGTGATCTTTCCACCTCAGCCTCTCGTGTAGCTGGGACTACAGGCACACGCCACCATTCTCAGCTAATTTTTTAAATTTTTTGTTGAGACAAAGTCTTGCCATGTTGCCTAGGCTGGTCTTAAACTCCTGGCCTCAAGCGATCCTCCCACCTCAGCCTCCCAAAATGCTGGGATTACAGGTGTCAGCCCCAGTGCCTGGCCGAGGACTTTCCTTAGGATTAGAGATTCTCCCTGTTAAAATATATGTTCTATATTCAAAAGTCTATAGTTGGCCAGGCGTGGTGACTCATGCCTATAATCTTAGCACTTTGGGGGGCCAAGGTAGGAGAATTACTTGAGCCCAAGATTCAAGATAGGCCTGGGCAACATAGTGAGACAGTCTCTAAAAAATAAAATAAAATAATTGAAAACCCAAAAGTCTATAGTTAAGGTGAGATTGTATAAGAATGGAGAGTTATTATTTTTAGAGAAAAATATATTTCCAATATATCCAGCATGGAGCCCTTTATTTCCCAGAAATGAATAAATGTTCCTTTTTTTTTTTTTGAGCCGGAGTCTCACTCTCTTGCCTAGGCTGAAGTACAGTGCAGAGTCTTGACCTTGACCTGATGGGCTCAGGTGATCCTTCCACCTCAGCCTTCCAAGTAGCTGGAACCACAGGCACACGCCACCACACCCAGCTAATTTTTTGATTTATTGTAGAGACGAGGTCTTACCATGTTGCCCAGTCTGGTCTTGAACCCCTGGGCTCAGGCAATCCTTTCGCCTCCATCTCCCAAAGTGCCAGGATTACAGGCGTGAGCTACCGCCCTTGGCCAGGAATAAATATTCTACTGTCTATATTCTAATGGTTATCAACATAACTGTGACTACATTTCAGTAATATTGTCAGGTAGAAAAAGTTACCATGTTTTTGAACCTCTTTAACCAGTGAAAACAGCAAGAGTTTGTCGTCATGCAAAAAACCCACAGGGATCACGTAGCCAAACATCATTGAAATTGCTGGCCACCGGCTGTGGAGCTAGCCAGAAACATCTTACCTTGAGCGAGTAAGGAGCCCAGAGCAAGGGCCTCCGCCGTGGCCCAGTCTAGCTTCGTTCCGTCCATCACCTTCTCCATTCTGGACTATAAAATTGAGGGGAAGGAAGAAAGAAACTTTTAAGAGTCCATATCAGCTGGGCTCGGTGGCTCAGCCTGTAATCCCAGGCCTTTGGGAGGCTGAGGCGAATGGATGCCTGAGCCTGAGGGTTCGAGACCCGCCTGGGCAACTTGGCAACACCTCATCTCTACAATAAATCAAAAACTAAGCCGGGCTGGGTGGCTCAGCCTGTAATCCCGCGCCTTTGGGAGGCTGAGGTGAGTGGATTGCCTGAGCCCACGGGTTCGAGACCCGCCTAGGCAACTTGGCGAGACCTCATCTCTACAATAAATCAAAATGAGCCAGGCATGGTAGCGCATGCCTGTAGTTCCAGCTACTTGGAAGGCTGAGGCGGAAGGATTGCCAGAGCCCAGTGGGTCGAGGCTACAGTGACCGGGAGCGGCCACCGCACTCCAGTCTGGGCGACAGAGTGAGACTCCAACTCAAAAAAAAATAAAATAAATCAATCAACCAAAAACTAGCCAGGCGTGGTAGCACGCGCCTGTAGTTCTGGCTACTTGGAAGGCTGAGGTGGGAGGATCGACTGAACCCAGCAGGTTAAGGCTGCAGTGACTGGGAGCGGCCACTGCACTCCAGTCTGGGTGACAGAGTGAGATTCCAACTCAAAAAAAAAAAAGAGTCCATATCAGAGTGTTAATGCTCTCTGATGCTTAATGCCACAGAGGTAAGCATCAAGCACAACGTTGAATAAAAACAGAGACTGCAGACAGACACAGGCAAGTAGAATAGCCACGCTGTATAGTTTTTAAACAGGCAAAGCAAGCAAGTCTCAGGTTGGAGGTTATCTCTGTGGAGGCATGAGGAGATGGAATGTCGGGGCTGGGGAACTGTATTTATTTAAATTTCAAGTTTGGTGGCTTTTTTGGGGAGGGAGTTGGGGGTCTCACTCTGTGGCCCAGGCTGGAATGCAGTGGCACAACCAGGGCTCACCACAGCCTCGACCTCCTGGCTCAGATGATCCTTCTGCCTCAGTCTCCCGAGTAGCTGGGACTACAAGCGGACCACCACATCCAGATAATTTTTCTTTTTTTTTTTTTTTTAAGTTGGAGTCTCACTCTGTCACTCAGACTGGAGTGCAGTGGCCGCTCCCGGCCACCGCAGCCTCGACCTGCTGGGATCAGGTGATCCTTCCACCTCAACCTTCCAAGTAGCTGGAAATACAGGCACGTGCTACCACACCTGGCTCATTTTGATTTATTGTAGAGATGAGGTCTCGCCAAGTTGCCCAGGCGGGTCTCGAACCTGCTGGCTCAGGCAATCCACTTACCTCGGCCTCCCAAAGTGCTGGGATTACAGGCTGAGCCACCGAGCCCGGCCAGATAATTTTTCTTTTCTTTTCTTTTCTTTTTTTTGGTAGTGACAAGGTCTCGCTGTATTGCCTGGGCTAGTCTCGAACTTCTGGCCTCAAGTAATCCTCCCGACTCAATGTCCCAAGGTGCTGGGATTACAGGCATGAGCCACTACACTCAGCCGGGAACTGTATTTATAATATTCTATTTCTTAAGCTGGGTGTCAGTATTCAGGGGGCAAAGTTTCTTCATTCAAGCTTAAGAATGAGGAAGATCTTTACTTCTTTGCTCTCTTTGTTTTAGCACTGAAAGTCCCATGTTCCTGGAAACTCTCAAGTCCCAGGCAAACCAGGACAGTTTGTCATCTTGTCATCTGATAGCTAACATAAGCCAATATGAAAACTTCAACATGAGTAAGGATCTAAACGGCTACCTTTTACTGTAATGGTTCTTTTATTTAAGCCATCTGGAAGAATTAAGGTGTTTTCTGCTCACTGGTTGGAAAGAGATCAAAACACATTTCTGTATTTCTGCATCTTTAATAATAAGCACATATTCCATTGAACATGCAGCATGTTAAACATGCATAAGACTGAGTGCAGTGGCTCACATCGATAATCCTAGTCTAGGGGCTCGAGACCAGTTTAAGCAACATAGTGAGACCTCAGCTCTACGAAAAGTTAGAAGTTAGGCCAGGTGCAGTGGCTCATGCCTATAATCCCAGCACTTTGGGAGGCTGAGGGGAGAGGACTGCCTAAGCTCACGGGTTGGAGACCAACCCAGGCAACCTGGCAAGACCTCATCTCTACAATTAATCAAAAAATTAGCTGGGCATGGTGGCGCGTGCCTGTAGTTCTAGCTACTTGGAAGGCTGAGGTGGAAGGATCACCTGAACCCAGCAGCTCGAGGCTGCGGTGGCCGTGAGTGTGTCACTGCATTCCAGCCTGGGCAACAGAGTGAGACTCCAACTCAAAAAAAAAAAAAAAAAAAAAATTAGCTGGGTGTCATGGTGCGCACCTGTAGTTCCAACCACTCAGGAGGCTGAGGCAGAAGGATCACCTGAGCCCAGGAGGTCGAGACCACATGAGCTGTGATTGTGCCACTGTACTCCAGCCTGGGCAACAGAGTGAGATCCTACCACAAAAAACAACAACAACAACCAAAAAAACCCTTCCCAAGCCATAAATAAATAAACAAACAAAGAAATAAATACATGGAAGAAAAACAAAAGTAGAGAAAAGTCTGAGCTGATTGACTGTCAGTACCAAAGCAACACAAGGATAGGTTCCTAGAACCTGATGACACCCAATAAATGCTCGCCAAATGCATCAGTCAACAGAAAAGACCAGACCGACATGCATTTCTTTGCTGAGCAGGAAAGAAAGGCAGTGAGTGACACTGTCAATGTCCGCACCTGCACATACATCTTCAGGAGGTGACTGTGCATCTGGAGTCCCCCGGGCACCTCCACAGACTTCACGCCAACGAACCGCAGGAGTTCCAGGGGCACACCTGTGCTCCAGGTGGTGACTCGAGCTTCCGGCTGAGCCAGGCCCTGCCAGTGGGCCTGAAGGTTGGAGGCCGGAGGGCTGTAGTGGGCCATGTTGTTCAGGTGGCCGTTTAACTTGGCGTAGTAGGAAGATTTGATTTCAGATACCTCCTCTTGAGTCATGAGTCCGCCGGCGATCAGGTGCTCCGCATATGTGTCTGGGATGCTCTTTCGGGCTCTGTCCAGGAGAGAGGAGACAAGACAAATCAGTCTGATCTGGAAACACCTAAGAGAGACAGAGATGGTCATCGTCAAAGGCACCGGGGAGTGTCATTGCTATAAAAAAGTGCTCAGTGAAAGTTTTGGGACTAATGGAGGTGGTGACTGTAAAACACTGTGGCTGTCATAAATGCTACTGAATTGTTCACTTTATGTTTTTTTATTTCTATTTTATTTTTTAACACCTCACACCATTGACATTTTGGATGTTCACTTTAAAATAGTCGATTTTACATTATATGACTTTCATCTCAATAAGTTAATAAAACAAAATAAGTAAATACACATTTTAAAAGTCAATTACTTAATTAAAGGCACGCACAAGTACCAAACTTCTTCCAGGCAAGCAAGAGAAAACAAATGTATCTTTATAAGCTTTTGTCCACATCCAGGTAGAAATAATGAGTATGGTTTTTCTATGCATTGGTAAAATCTGACAGTTATTTCTTTTTTTTTTTAATTTTTATTTTTTGAGTTGGAGTCTCACTCTGTCGCCCAGACTGGAGTGCAGTGGCCGCTCCCGGCCACCTCAGCCTCTACCTGCCGGGCTCCGGCGATCTTTCCACCTCCGCCTTCCGAGTAGCCGGAATTACAGGCGCACGCTACCACGCCCGGCTGATTTTTTGATTTACTGTAGAGATGAGGTCTCGCTGCCCAGGCGGGTCTGGAACCCGCGGGCTCGGGCAGTCCACTCACCTCAGCCTCCCAGAGGCGCGGGATGACAGGCTGAGCCACCGAGCCCGGCTTTGACAGTTATTTCTGGAGTTGACCCACACTGTTTGCCCAATCAGCATCCCCTTGACTTCGAAGAGTATAGACTCCAATGCTGTTGACACGGTTCCAGGGTGCTTCAGCCGTCGCTTAACCATAGCAGCCAGCACCTGGGTGTGGCAGCAACACTAATAACGCCACTCTTTGCTCACATCATCCTTTAACATCTGTCCACATGGATTATCATATTTGATCCTGACAAAAGTGAGAGGTAAACAGGGCAGATTTTTTTAAAAGGGGGTACTGAGGCTCGTCAACCCATTCAGCTGCCAAGTTCAGAGGGAAACAGAGAATGCAGGCTGGGTACGGTGGCTCGCGCCTATAATTCCAGCATTTTGGGAGGCTGGGGTGAGAGGACTGCCTGAGTCCACAGATTTGAGACCAGCCTGGGCAACTTGGCGAGACCTCATATCTACAATAAATCAGAAAATTCGCTGGGCATGGTGGTGCGTGCCTGTAGTTCCAGCTACTTGGAAGGCCGAGGTGGAAGGATTGCCAGAGTTCAGCAGGTCGAGGCTCTGGTGGCCAGGAGCATGCCACTGTCCTCCAGCCTGGGAAACAGAATGAGACTTCAACTCAAAAAAAAAAAAGAAAAGAAACAGAAGCAACGTCTGTAAAATGTCACCAAGCTTACTCCTCTGCTTTAATTTATATCTATGAGGAAATAAAGTGGGAGGGGGTGTCTCTTTTACCTTCTAGTATCTAAAAAAGGAAATACCACAGTAACACATCCCCTCTTCTTCATGTTCACCTTCTGAATCAGCACCGACAGAAATAAAATGCAAGCTATGTGTGTAATTTTAAATTTCCTGGCAGTCACATTAGAAAAGGTAAAAAGGAGCAAGTGAAATTAGTTACAAAGATATTCTGTATTTAAGTCAATACAGTAAATCCCCTATATACAAACCTTCAAGTTACAAACTTAAAGAGCCACACGTGCATTTTTTTTGAGTTGGAGTCTCACTCCTCATCGCCCAGGCTGGAGTACAGTGACACGCTCACAGCCACCGCAGCCTCATCCTACTGGGCTCAGGTGATCCTTCCACCTCAGCCTTCCAAGTAGCTGGAACTACAGATGCATGCCACCATGACCGACTTTTTTTTTTTTTTATTTATTGTAAAGACGAGGTCTCACCAAGTTGCCCAGGCTGGTCTTGAACCCCCAGGCTCAGGCAATCCTCTCCCCTCAGTCTCCCAAAGTGCTGGGATGACAGGCTGAGCCACCATGCCCGGCCTCATTTTTTAATCTATTATTTCTTTCTACCAGGTATCAGTACAGCCTGTTAAATACTAATAGTACTATATAGGTGACTGTTAGTCGGACTTAAAACAAATTGGATTTTTAAATATATTTTTGCATAATACATTTTTTAATATATTATTTCTTTTTAATATATATATTTTTAATATATTATTTCTTTCCACCAGGTATCAGTATAGCCTGTTAAATACTAATAGTACTATATAGTTGACTGTTAGTTGGACTTAAAACAAATTGGACTTTTTTTTTTTGAGTTGGAGTCTTACTCTGTCGCCCAGACTGGAGTGGGCTCCGGCGATCCTTCCACCTCAGTCTTCCAAGTAGCTGGAACTACAGGCATGCACTACCACGCCTGGCTAATTTTTTTTTGTTTTATTGTAGAGATGAGGTCTCGCCAAGTTGCCCAGGTAGGTCTCGAACCCGCAGGCTCAGGCAATCCTCCACTCACCTCAGCCTCCCAAAGCGTGGGATTACAGGCTGAGCCACTGAGCCTGGCTATAAATTGAATTTTTAAATATATTCTTTCATAATATATTTTAAAAAAATTTTAATATATCATTGCAATATATTATTTTTTAATATATTATTTCTTTCCACCAAGTATCAGTAAAACCTGTTAAATACTAATAGTACTATATAGTTGATTGTTAGTTGGGCTTAAAACAAATTGGACTTACAAATGAGCTCTCAGAATGGAACTCATTCGTATGTTGGGGACTTCCTGTAAACCTAAAAGACTGTAATTCCAATATCTAATCAATACAAAAATTATTGACATATTTTATGTTTATATATATATATGTTTTTGAAGGTAAGATTTATTGAGAGGACAGAAAAGATCCCAGAGTGGGAGGGGACCCGAGGGGGTTGCCTGTTTATATGTTTTTAATATGTATTTCTTTTTTTGGAAGTCAGTGTCCTGGGATATGTTTGTACATCATAAGCCAGGTCTTTGAAATCTGGAGTGCATATTGCCCTTATAGTAGCACATCACTCAGGACCAGCCACATTTCAAGTGCTCAGGAGACACTTATGGCTTGTGGCTTCCATATTGGACACCAACGTTCTGAACATGCTTTAAAATCTGTTGGCCAGGCATGGCAGCTCACACCTGTAATCCCAGCACTTTGGGAGGCTGAGGCAAGAGGATTGCCTGAGTCCAGGGGTTCAAGACTAGATGGGGCAATCTGGCGAGACCTCGTCTATACCATAAAAAATCAAAAAATTAGCCAGGCTCGGTGGCTCAGCCTGTAATTCCACGCCTTTGGGAGGCTGAGGTGAGTGGATTGCCTGAGCC